CCCATCAGGAGCTCAGCTCTGGCACCCTGAGCAGGTTGGATTTGGGCTCCAATTACACCCTGGTGGTTTCTGCCTCCAATGAATTAGGAAATGCCTCCTCCCAGCCGCTCACCTTCACCTTGATAGACATAGGTAAAGATCCACTTCCCACCTCCCAGCCATCCCTGACCTCTGGGAAAATCTGAGAACATTCTGGGCACTTCAAACCTCTTGGAAAAATCATCCCTCCCCATTTCCCACCTGAGCCCCCGTTTGTTCCTTCCTGTTTCTATGACAGTGAAGCCACATCCTCCCAACTTTTCCGTGGAATTTGATGATTCTTCTGCCACCAGCTGCACCTTTTCCTGGCACGATGAGGCACAAGAACAGCACTGCAGGCTGAGATATCGACCCCTCGGCAGGCACAGCTGGAGCATGGTGATCCCCTTGGGATGAAGGGAGTTATGGAGCTGCTGGAGAGGGGAAGGATCCTGGGAGAGCTCAGAGCTCCTTTTGGGGCTTAAAGGGGCTCCAGGAGAGCTGGAGAGGGACTGGGGACAAGGGATGGAGGGACAGGACACAGGGAATGACTTTAAGGTGGAAAAGTGGAGATTTGGGTGGGGGTTTGGGCAGGAATTGTTCCTGGGAGGGTGGGCTCGCAGCTTCTTTTCCCTTATGAATATTCTGGTTTTTATCCCCAGCCTCTCCCTGCTCGCAGCTCCTTTTCCCTTGTGATATTTCCCTTTAATATTCCGTTTTTTACTCCCAGCCTCTCCCAACCTGCAGCTCCTTTTCCCTTGTGAATATTTCATTTTTCCCCCCAGCCCCTCCTGACCTGCAGCTCCTTTTCCCTTGTAATATTTCCCTTGTGAATATTCCATTTTTTACCCATAACCTCTCCCAACCTGCAGCTCCTTTTCCCTTGTAATATTTCCCTTTAATATTCCGGTTTTTTACCCCTAACCTCTCCCAACCAGCAGCTCCTTTCCCCTTGTGAATATTCCATTTTTTACCCCTAACCTCTCCCGACCTGCACCTCTTTTTCCCTTGTGATATTTCCCTTTAATATTCCCTTTTTTACCCCCAGCTTCTCTGGACCTGCAGTTCCTTTCCTTGTGAATATTCCATTTTTTACCCCCAGCCTCTCCCGACCTGCAGCACCTTTCCCCTTATGAATATTCCATTTTTTCCCCCCGTCGAAGGTTGAAATCCCCAGCAGGGAGCGGTTCCACCTGCAGGGGCTGGAGCCGGACACATCCTAYGAATTCCAGTCGAGCTGCAGGACCCGCCGGGATCGGGGGCTGTGGAGCGGCTGGA